GCGTCTTGGCCAGCCGCGCCCGCGGGGCGATTCGGCCCCTGGGCCGGCTGGGCTCCTCTCACGGTGGGATGAGGATGGGAGTATGGGCGCGGACTGAGCGAGTCTGTAAAGTTGGGAATGATGGCAAGGCCTGGAGCAGTTCGGCCTCATAGCGAACGAGGAGCTGGCGCTCCGCGGAGGGTCGCTGGGGGCGGCCTCCGCAGAAAGGGCGTGTCGGTGGGCGAAGGTGCCCCCGCGAGCTTGCGGAAACTCGTGACTTCGCGAATCCCGGGCCGGGGCGGTGCCGGAGCCCCACCCCCGGCCAGCCGTGCCACTCCGCAGCCAGACGTGGCGGCTCGGGCTGGGGAGGGGGCGGAGGACGGGGGCTGAGTCCCCGCGGTCTCTCAGGAACCCATATTTTCTTTTCGGATTCTCCGCGAAGGGGTGGAGAAACAGGATGGGAACCGGATTGGCTGCATTGTGGCACAGAACTGAAACCTTCCTGAAAGAGGTTGGGGCAAGCAGTGACTGTTCAGACGTCCAGTTTCTTTGGGACACCTCTTCAGCGCTGGCTTCCCTGCCTCTGCCTTTAGGACGAGTCTCAAACACCAACAATGCAAGGCGCGTGCCCCTCTCAGGGCTGCTGCAGAGGCACTGGAGGAAGAGTGAGGCTTTCCCTCCTACTTCCAGTTTTTGTTTCAAATATTAATGGACGATAAAACAATACGGATTGTCCCCTCCTAGAGAAGAGCAAGTAACCGCCCATCGACCCCCCTCAAGCACGCCAGGTCACTCCCTGGAGCGACGGGAAATGGCAAGAGTTGAGATGCCCAAGATGGAGCTGGCCAAGATGATCCACCTTGGAAAGTGCGGGCCATGGCTCCAGCTCTCAGCTCTCAACAGCAGCAGACCACGCCGCTATGCACCTCTCCTTCCCCTCTTGGTTGGCGCTAGGGCCCAACCTTTGGTGGCGCTTCAAAGGTGGGAGAAGAGCATGCTGGGGCGAGAACAAATCAGGCGCCCAGAAGGTTCCACAAAGATTCGGTGCGCGACAAGACACCAAGACCAGGTTTCCTACCTACGTGGTGGCCCTTCCTTGTGCAAAAGTTGCGATGAATGAATTCCTAGGAAGTGGAAGCTGGAGAAAGATAAAATGAGGAGCCCCGAGAAGCTCGCTCTCAGCGGCACTCCTGGACGTGCTCAGAGCTGAGTTTGCTCCCTGGACACCTTTTGCCTCTGCAGGATGGTCTTTCCCAGGCACAAAGTGAATCTGGCCCCCTGGGTTCTTGCCCTCCAGAGAGCTATGAACCCTGCAGAGGTGAAGAGCGAGATACTCTGGCGAGACTCGCACTTCCTCCTGTTTTCCCATCCTGGGACTCACCCATCTTCCAGTACTTAAGATTCTTTTCCTGCCTAATCCCACCCCACCGTCTTTGATCCCACAGTTAGTCCCAGGTTCTCTACACCCAGGGAAAACGGGTGGGGTCATTCTCAGAAGCTCAGGGGGCGAATCCATTTTAAGAATGAGTTAAAGTAGGAAAGAAAACAGATGCTGTCTATGTGCGGAAATTCTGTCACTAGCATGAGAATGTGTAACTACTGTTCTTTCCTTCATTGTTCCATAAATTATCCTTTCTGTAGGAATCCACCAGTTGGTGGTTAAGGGCTTTTAAATATTGTGGTTGTTAAGAATTTTACAAAATGCAGTAAGTCTACTGGTGGCATTGTTTCATTGGAAAATTAGAAAAGTAAAGAGAAAGTACTAGCCTAGTTCTCAGGTGAGCACTGGAAGGTTGGCTTCCTGTTGATTAGCAAGCTAAGAAGTGTATATGGTTTAAGAGGCAGAAAGAGACCTGGAGATTTGGTGATAGGAGTTGTGAGATTTGGAAGGTGAAATACTCCAGCATTTGTTAAGAAAAGAGAAAAACTTTCGCAAAACAACCTACTTTATTCCATTCTTTCGAGGCAATTTATCTTAGGATTTCACTTGCTTCATAATAATTTTTAGAATGGGATATTTGCAAGCGTTAGTGATGAAATCTGAAGGAGAATTCTACTCATGGACAACAAAAAGTATTTTGATATTTTTATTTAAGTGATTTAAATATTTACATCTTGGTTTCCTTCCTTTACAGAATTATTTTCTTATAAAAGTTTCCATTAGGTGTTGGTCTGACTGTGCTGGTTCTTATTAAGACTGTTTTTGGGGGGAGGGGTGTTTAATTAGACTTTTTTAAGATAAGGAGGGAAAAAAAAAACTTTACTAATGTGAAAGTACTGCAGGTAAATGCTCTTGTTATAAAGAAGTACTTTTTCCCCCAGAATATAAAATTTTCAAATAACATCACCACTAGCTAATTAATTGCTTTTGCCCTGTCAGTAGCCATTGCTAAGATGAAAGAAATGCAAAGTGCTTGTTTGTGCTTTTCATGCTAGACCTAAGAACTATTAAGTAGTATTAATTGTTGGGTCCCTTCTCAGTTGATGTCCAAATACCAGAGGGGTAAGCATCCTTTTTCGAAATTGTTTTGTTTTGTTTTGTTTTACAAAAGTGGAAAGACTTCTGTCTGAAAAAAGAATATTGATACAGATGAGACTATTCATTTGACAGCAATATTGAGGGCAAAATAGAGGGGAGGAAAAAAAGCATGAAAATTACTTTTGTCCACTAGTTTTGTTTTAATCAAGCCTGTCTCAATACTAATATTTTTAGAATCACAATTTATGCTTTATCAATGGGATACTTAAAGTGTCCAATAGAAGTTTTTATAATGTCTATGAACACTCAATTTTATGCTGTGATATTCATTAATAGGTATAAGAAACGTCATATTGGTTGATGGTTTACTACTGAGTCTCAGGTAAGGAGCTTGATAGAAACTGCATTCTGCAAGGAATGCACTTATTTTTTGTTTATATGAATTGCATTTTGATGCTTTTACTTGAATAAATTGTGGGGAATAATGGTATTGAAGGTTAAAGATTCATGGAGGATCGTGAAAACTCTTATGTGAATTAAAAAAAAAATACAGACAGCAATGGACAAATGACTCTGACTAACTATACTTTTTAATAAATTACTGTTATCATTGAGCTAGGCTCTTT